GTATGGGATGCAATCCAAGTGCTGCCGGCATGTTTCATCAAAGCATCAGCATGAAGCACAGGACATGAGAGTGGACTTTCCATCTTTTGAAACCGCCGTCAGCGATCTTGGCTCACTCAAAGTGATCAATTGATCAGGTGTGAGGACGTGATGTCAAAGTTGCCTCCAGTTGGGACCTTGGCGGAGAGGTGGGAGTCAAATACGGCTCTCCGCCGAAGGATCAGGGAGACCGGGAAAATGACGTCTTGGAAAAACGAGAAGGTTGTAGGCCTTGCATCTGTGGAAGCGATGACCTTTAACCTGCCAGCTCTTGAGATGTTGGCAGACTGGTGGAGCTCTCACGAATCCGAGCCCAAGTCTGTGCCCATCGATTTGGTCCGCCAAGAGGCCAAGTTTGGGGGTGCCAAAATTCAATCCCACACATGTCGGCTCAATGCTATACACAAATAGCGAGTTTGGCAACTTGCATCACCCGTTTTAACTTTGGACACCACCCCCCTACAGGTGCTGGCCTTTTACAAGCTGACCGTTGTGGAGTTGAATCCCGCGAACCATTGCCAGGACAGCTGGGGCTTGAAACGGCTCTTTAGCCACGGGCTGAGGCGCTGGCTCTCTGGTGCTTCCCAGCCAAGGGAGACCTGGAAGAGTTGGTTCTTTTTGGGAGTGTTATTTTTGAGTTTCTTTTTGGAAGAGTTGGTTCTTTTTGAGAGACCTGCCAGTAATGGTTAAATCTTGATAATTAAGTTGTTCGATGTTTGAATTATTTCTTTCCGGAATTTGACTCTTTGTGTTTCCAAGGACCCAGCTTTGAAGGAGTTCTGGCGGATCTTGGATTTCAATTGGGGGAACCCGGAGCAGTACCCAGCTCTGACAAGCCTTAGCTCGTTTGAAAGTGTTGGAGAAGGCAATGGTGGAGAGGCTTCTGCTTCGACTGGGGGGCGACGCCGCTGCTCCTGTCCCTCCTACAGTTGAAAACGCCGGCCCACGAGAACCTGTTTGTGAACCACTTGCTGAATCATCGCAGGTTGAGGGGTCTGAAGTGCTAGCTAGCGGCGATGACAAGGGGCCTCAACCGTCTCTTGCTGAGGTGTATCCTGAGCCTGTCGACTCTCAACAGCCTGACCCTACTTTAGACTTCCCGGATTCGCAGCTTCCCTTTGGCTATGACGGCTATGATGAGGATGACGCTGCACCCACTGCAACCCCTCAGTTTGACGATGGGATGGAGCCAAAAAATTTGAGCGCTGAACTCTCTCAAGCTGAAGGTTGTGAGTCGGAACGTTTCCCTTACACCGAAGCCGCGGAGGCGGCGATTGAGAAACCTGCGGCCCCTGTCCCTGAAGCCGATGCCTCATCAGCCGTCCATGATGGTGGCCGGATGCCTGGCGCCGAGGTCAAAGAGGAAGCTGAGCAAGCCGTCATGTCCAAACTGAGGGCAGCCAGGTGAGGGATTATGTTGACCAAAAGTATGCAAGCCTAGAATCTTTAGTATTCAAAAAAAATGATTCTGTAGCGCAACTTGGTAATTAATTTGGCCAAAGAACATGTGTTGTAACAATGCCTGTCGACCCCTGTGCAGGCTCATGCTGCAACAGCGGAAGCTCAACCATGGGAAGTCTAGCTCGCCAGCTCAACAAAGAAAGTATTTTCCCTTTTTCCTCGTGCGACTCGTGTGGAATTTGGTCCAAACTTAACGAGTTAGCTTTCCAATCGCGTTGGAAGGTGCTTGCTTGGACACCATGGACACGTTGCCCATGGACATCGGCGAGGGCCCCTCTTCGTTTGGCATGGCTTTTCATGGTGAGATCATTGAGTTGGATTCACCTCTGGCCAAAACGCCTGATCCTGCGATGACGCTACCTGAGCCTCTTTTTGTTGAGCCCGTGGAGCCTTCACACCCCGAGGAGAAGGAATCCACAACCCGTGAACCTCTTGATAAGAGTCAAGGCATGCTTTCAATGGAGGTGGAGCCTTCAAGCTTGGAGGCGCCTACCACCAGTGACCTTACTTTGCAGGAGAGCAAAGGCAACCAAAGCGTGCTTTCAATGGAAGTGGAGCCAGTGGAGCCTTCAAGCTTGGAGGTGCCTACCACCAGTGGCCCTACCATGCAGGAGAGCAAAGGCAGCCAGGACATGCCTTCAATGAAAGTGGAGCCTTCAAGCCCGGAGGTGCCTGCCACCAGTGGCCCTCCTTTGGGGGGGTCTCAAGGCCATGGCCAAGAGCAGCAACACCAAGAATGTCAAGAACCAAGAGACCGATATGGATGTGGAAAGCTTGATGACCGTGGACGCCGCTTTGCATGAACCGTAGTTAGTTTTTTGTTCTTGTTTGGTGGGTGGGGCGGCTATAGACTAGCTTGTCATCAAGTTTTCCAAAAAAGCCCAAGCAAAGGCTTCTTTGCTTCTTCGACGCGAGCAGCTC